GTGCTGGGCCACCCCGTGCACAGGGTTTTGGGCTACTGCCATCCCCCTGCCCGCACTTTGGAGGGACTTTTCTTGGGCTGTGGCTTTTGACTAGTCGATGAAAGCCCCCCAAGGTTTCTGGAGCAGGACATTGATGTGTGATTCCCCCATGGATCCCCTCCAGCGGCAGCATGAAGCTGCCAGGTACCAGGATACCCGCACCCAGTGGCCTCGGTGCCACATCCACAGCATCCATCAAGGTGTTGCTTTATTTTTCCCTCGGGGAACATTTCAGAGGGGCTCATTTTATTGGCCCTTTTAACACCATCATGCCCGGTGTGCCTGCCCGCTCCCCTTCTTCCCGCAGCCAGGGCTGGGAGGTGGTTGTTTAAGAGCATATTGTGGCCAGGAGCGCTGGGACTCCTGGGGCGAGCTCCACTGCTGCCTTTTGTCCCCAAGCGCAGCGGAGCCTCTCCGGACAATGGGCGGAAACGTGCTCCGGCTGCACGTCGCCCCAGCCAGCCCGCCTGCTGGGGCCCTATCTGCCTGGGGAAGGTGCTTTGCAGGGGCTGCATTGTTTGGGGCCGATAAACTCCGGAAACCCGGGCGCAGAATGGAAGGAAGTGTCAAAAGCCTCGAGCCCGGAGCTGCGGGGCTGCAGAGCGGGTTCCCACGGCACAGCTGCGGGGCGGCGATCCTGGAAAGCATCCTGCAGCCTCCGGCAGTGTGGGGCTGAGCTTGGTGCGGGGTTGGGCTGGATTTGGGGCCGGCTGGGAACATCTTTAGAGTGGAGATTAGGAGGAAATTTTTTCCTGTGCGGGTGGTGAGGCAGTGGCCCAGGTTGCCCAGAGAAGCTGTGGATGCCCCATCCCTGGAGGGGTTCAAGGCCAGGCTGGATGAGGCTTTGGGCAACCTGGGCTAGTGGGAGGTGTCCCTGCCCATGGCAGGGGGTGGCACTGGATGGGCTTTAAGATCCCTTCCAACCCAAACCAGTCTGGGATTCTGTGATTCTAGATTCTAATGATCTTCCAGTCTCATTCAGGAATGGATGGATTACTAAAGCCCCTGTGCTGTGGTGGTCCCAGGGCTCCCCTTGCCTGGCTGCAGGTCTTATGGGTCAGGGGCTGTGCTGGTGCTGCCCAGAGCTTGCGGAGCATCTGAGGTCCCCTTGGCTTTCCCAGTCCCCCCCAGGGCAGTGGTCAGGGAGTAGAGTCCTCTGGGTGCTCCTTGGACTTGACAGCTGCCATGATGATCATCACTAGAGGATCTTTAAGGTCCCTTCCAACCCAAGGCACTCTATGATTCTATGCTACAATTCAGTTCTGGCTGAATCACTCTGATTTTTCCTGCCTGGGGACTGCTGGGGGACCCCTGGTTGATTTTGGGTGCCCAGCCTGGTTCTGGGGGGACAAGGTGCTGTGTGGTCTGGGGAGGGATCCCTGTGCCCTCTAAGCAGGAACAGGAGCATCAGGAGTGGGGGTGCGGGTGTCCTCCCCCAGGAGGGACCGCTGTCAGCACCTTGGACCTGGGGGGAACCTGGGCCACCAGCCAGGGTGGGTCCTTGGATGCTCCAGGAACAAACACTGTGGGCTGAAGGTGGCACACGATGGGGGGGCAGGTTCCCGTGCCAGGGCAGAGGGGACCTTGTCCCGTGGCATTGCCACAACCAGCTGTGGTTTGAGGGGAAGGAGCCCTGTGGGTGCTGTGGGTGCTGTGGCTCTGGGCTGTGTGGGCGCAGGGACCACAGGGGATGCTGGCAGTGGTGACACCCAGAGTGCCACTCTGGACCTGCGCTGGCCTGGGGATGCAGACGCTGTTCTTCTGTTCCCTCCCAGCTGAGCGGAGCCGAAGCTGAATGCAGCTGTGACGAAGGGGACGAGACCTCCCGCAAGAAATGGAGCAGGAGCCTGTAAGTGTCACGTCGCGGTGGCATCAGAGCATACCCGGACTGTTTGCTGTGCTCACACACCTCGTCCCAGCCCTGCTGGTCCAGGCAGCCCTCGGGGTCCCCCTGTCTGGTTTCCCCGAGCTTTGCCGGGAAAAAGCAGCAAAGACACGCATGAACTAAGGTCTCACTTCAGACAGGGGGTCGTGATTTTCAGGGAGGAGGGTGGGAGGTGCCTGGGGGCATTGCCCAGCCCGGCTGGGAGCAGCCCCCTGTTTGCGTTGCTTTGGCAGACAGGGCAAAGGAGCCGGCTCTTGCTGGTGGCACGGGGAAAACGGCGTCCCTGGTGCTGGGAGAGCTCAGCTCTGGCAGCACTGGGTTCGGGGAGAGGCTGTGCCAG